TTTGACACTGCATCATGGAACCAAACCTCTGATATCATCTGCCGATAGGCTTAGATCTTCCTCCCCACACTGGCATAGCTCCTCAGCAAAGGTGTCGACAATATAGGATGTAATGCTATGAATATCGTGATATGTTACTCTTGACCATGATCATTGTTTTCTGATCTGCTGCTCTAGTTACAACGAAGCTAGTGTCATGGTTAATGATCCTAAGCACCTGTTTTTGTATATAACTCCAACTGAATGCTGGTTACCCTTCTGCCCCAACCTCTAGGCTGTACTTTGCTCCTAACCTAGACACTGGTCCAATCCGCTATCATGGCGACCTAGGCACCACTATAAATGACTTCCATATTTTCTGGGGTTGGAAGGCCTGACAATGATGAAAAAACGTTTGCAAGTGCAACTAAATTCTCTATTATATATTACATAGGTGCTCTAGAAGCCAACAACCCCAACCTTTTTGTTTTAAACCATTTGAACTGTGAAAGAGATCTTTCCAGATCTTGAACCAAGAGGGCACGACTCTTTAAATTGCCAAGAATCAATGGAATTATATTTTATTAAGCCTGTTTTAGGAAACAAAAAACTAAAACAAAATTCACCTATGCAAATCAATGAAATTTCTTGTACCCTTTACCTAGGGGGAAAAAAATTAAAGAAATAACACTGTAGAACATTATCCTTTGGGCAAATAAAAAGGGGTTTTTCCATGTTGGAGCAAATTAAACTGTTTTGTAAGGGTTTTTGTCTTCATTTGGCTCAATTATGGTTTAAGGCCTCATGCACATAGACATATGAAAAAATTCTCCAAATATACTGCCAGAAGTTGGCAGAAACATGCTCTAATGCAGTGTTTTTATGCGCATATATGTATGTATACACATTTACATGTGTATGTGCGTAGGTTACAGTGGAAAATGCCTTTCTGAATGCAGGTTTGGGGCTTTTTTTTTTTTTTCATGCCCCCTGAATGCTGCTCTTAAATACACCTGTAAATGGCACAATGTGTTTTAGCACATTCGATAACCTAGAGCTGCTTTCAGTCATTTAAAGCCAGACACCCCTAGCAGGAGCATTTTTTTCTGCCGTGTGCATGAGGCCTAAGAGTTCTGAGCATGCATGGTGTTTTTAAGAAATGGGTATCTGCTTATCTTTTAAAATAAAAAGGTGCATACTCATATTGGACAAGTCGTACTCAATGACTAGAACAGATGACATGATCTTGTTAATTTGAAATGTTTACAAGCAGAAGACATCCTTTGATTATATTCAGGGAGGCAGCTCTTATGTTCTAGTTTTAATATTTAACAATGGTTCAGTGTGTTCAAATATCTTGTTACTTCATGAAATGTCACTATTCTCATTTGTCCAGTGAGCTGTTTGACTTTTCCCATTGATTAAGTTATGTGTCTTTGACAATGCTGTAATTTATAAAGGGGTTCTCCTAATGAGGATTTCATACCCAGAGGCTGTATTGAAAACTGGTCATTAATAACGCTGCTGCAAATATAGTGTACGGGTTAAGTTTGATAAAATGACAAGTTATTTAAAAGGAGCTATTAATGAGGGAAAGTTAATGCTGCTATAGCTTGGCTTTCCATCTGGAACTGCTAGTAGTGTGGCCACCATCCTGACCATCAGCAATTGCAGCCTCGTATTTCTTTTATCACAGGTATATTTTAAAAACATTCCCAAATTAAACCCAACGCCATCTTTATTGTGCATTTAAATAGTTTGTAGCTTCCTCTAATTGTCTACGGTGGCGACTATGATGTTGTTCATACATCTCTCCTCCTCATCCAATCAGTGCTTGAAGTGGTGTACAGGATAATTCTTATAATTTTTCCTGGAGTTAAGCTTAAAGAACTCCGGGATAGGCAAACAATCACCCGTTAGTACACACCCCCCCCCCCCCCCCCACATACACACACACACAATCCTCACCATTGAGGAGAAAAGTCTAATTGATATTTCATGACCTCATCTCTTTAACCACTTGCCCTCGAGAGGATTTACTCCCCCCCCCCCCCCCCACCCTCCTGACCAGGCCATTTTTTTTGGCCATATGGCGCTGCGTTACTTTAAAAATTGCGTGGTCATGCAATGCTGTACATGAATGAAATTTATGAATTTTTTTTCTCACAAATAGAGCTTTTTCTCGTTTGTATTTCATCATCTCTGTGTTTATTTTTGGGCTATAAACAAAAAGACTGACAATTTTGAAAAAAAAAGACTTTTTGCTATAAAACATATCAAGTAAAAAAGTAAAATCAAATTTCTTCATACATTTAGGCCAAAATGTATTCTGCTACATGTCTTTGCTGAAAAAAAAAAAAAAAAATCCCAATACATGTAAATTAATTGGTTTACATGAAAGTTGAAAGTGTCTACAAATGGCAGTATACATTATATACTCTATTTATGTATTTACTTATTTTATACTAGTAATGGCGGCGATCAGCGACTTATAGCGGGACTGCGGTGGGCATTCTGACATTGGGGGGGAACTGACTACCTGCCACTGACATCCCTATGACACTAATACAGTGATCAGTGCTAATAAAAAGCACTAACACTTTACTAATGACACTGAGCAGGAAGGGGTTAACATATTGGGCAATCAAAGGGTTACCTGTCTACTGTGTGTATTTTACTAGGGAAACATACTGCTGTGTATTTCTCTGCTGTTCAGAGAAATACACAGCAGCATGTTACTGCTGTCAGGAGAGAGACCTGCGTTCTTTACACACAGGTCTCTCTCCTGTCCGTGATACTTGACGATCGCCTAATGCCGGTGGGGAATCTCTAGTCAGGACACAGTGATCGACATATGTAGCTACCAATGGTGGCGTGGGTAGGGCGGAGCACGTACACCCTACCCAGAAATGCAGAATCACGTGTGTGTATATATACGTTATTTTGCGCAGCCTTGCCAACCTGTAGCAGTAGTTCTGCTATAGGGCGGTTAGGAAGAGGTTAAATTTAACTCTTGACGCAGCAGCCTGGGCTTGTTTACCATTTTGGCTTTGCAGGTGATCCTAATCTCGAGCTGACTAATTCTGCCTGCTGCTGTTGAGGCTCCAGTAGTCTGAATTCGAAAAACCAATGCTGGCAGGGAATCTCTGGCTGGGACTGGTGATTGACATCCGTAGCCACCAACGGTGGTGCAGGTAGGGCAGGAGGTCCAACAGCAGGGATTACATCATATCCTCTCCTTTCTCTGCACTAAAAGGAAACTACAGTTTCCATCCACACAGGCAATTGCAGTGAAAAGAACTACAGAAGGGATGTACCAAGTGGCTGGGGTAATAGAAGGCATAGCAGCCACTGGGCTTACAAATAGGAAACCAAAGAGAATTAACAGTTTGATTTAAAAATTATTAAACTATTTCAGATATTTCAGAGCAACTACTGAGTGAACCAGAAGGTGGATGAGCGTGAAGGTAGGAAATCGGCAACAAGGACATGTAAAGAAGTTTTTGATCGGAGTTCTGCTTTAAGTTTTTTTTGTTTTTGTTTTTTTCCCTACAGATATACAATTTTTTTACATCGTTATTTGTACAAATTATTTATCTAGGGTATCTAGCAATGTTAATTGTGCCCAAGCCATGCCCCAAAAGATTTACCTTGTTTTGTATTGATTTTTTTTTTTTAATGGTGTACTTCCTGTGAACCTCATAGCAGTATATCTGCAGTGTGAGATTATCGAAGGCCCTGCTAACTGTAATTATGAATTTTTTTTAGTGAGGTTTTGTGATGTCACTATTGTGTTCACTGATGGAGAGAGAACTCTATCCATGGGTCTGAAATGCAGAGATCTTCATTCTTTATTCATTCTTTTGGTCTTTGCTTTCTGCACCTATGCTGCTGCTCCTTGACTATTTCCCCACCAGTCATCAGATCACCAGTCATCAGATCACAAGTCATCAGGGGGCAGCCCTGCTTCCAACAAGATGGCTGCCTACATACATAGTGACAGTGCAGAATAAGACCTTAAGTAAATAATGGAGGAAATATAAGTCAGTATCTAACTTTGCATACACTAAAGAGGTTATGAATCTGTATAGCCTCCTCAGGACTTGTGCTGTAATATACAAGAATTCAAAGCACACTTGCACACTACCCGCAAGTGTGCCTTCTTTCAGTGATGAAAAGTCTCTCTCTCTCCCCCCCCACCCCGCCATCTTCTTCTAACATCTCTGTTCGGCCATTGGTTTGGCAAATGCTGACATAATTACCACACATGAGCAAGGGATAACAATTGTCCCAGGCTCTGTGTTGGGATTGCACACTGCACTGCATGCGGATAAAAAAAAAAATTGTTAGCAGAAAGGGAAAAGAGTGCTGTGGATTTTTTTTGGCAGAACAAACATGCAAACAATACAAACATTGATTAACAATTTTTTTTAAGCTTTAAGTTTTACTTTAGGATGGGGTGCCAGCGCTTAAAACATTTCAAACAGAAATCATGAAAAAAATTTGAAAAATAATAAAAAAATGAATCTCAAAATGTTGTTAATAAGTGAAATATATGGTGAAATCAAAGCAGAACAGTCCTCAAATGCTGTGATGAGATCAGAAGACTTCCAAAGATAGCCAATGTGACAACAACTACTTGCATGCAAGGCTTACCAGAAGGTATGTGACCCCCCCTGCTAAGAGTGGTCAATCTGCGCTTTTATAAGATGTTATTCGTGATATCAAGGGAAATGGATGGTTAATTCATCCTCTGGATACCCAAGGAAAAGACAGGTAATCCTCTCAAGCTGATCTCCCTGTATATGAAGGCTCCAACCACTCAAAAACAAGTTATATGAAATCAGAGCTTGTGGCGTTTAACCACTAGCCTACAGGGCACTTATACCCCTTCCTGCCCAGGCCAATTTCCAGCTTTCAGCGCTGTCACACTTTGACAATTGCGTGGTCATGCAACACTGTACCCATATGACATTTTTATAATTTTTTTTGAGACAGATAGAGCTTTCTTTTGGTGGTATTTAATCACCTCTGGGATTTTTATTTTTTCTTAAACCAAAAACCACTGAAAATTTTGAAAAAAAAAAACTTTTTTTTTAGTTTTTGTTATACAATTTTGTAAATAAGTGATTTTTCTCCTTCACTGATGTGCGCTAATGAGGCTGCAGTGATGGGCACTGATGAGGAGGCACTGGTAGGTTGCACTGATGGGCATTGACAGGCATCACTGATGGGCACTGAAAGGCAGCACTGATACATAACACTGACATATGGCACTGATAGGCGGCACTGACGGGCACTGTTAGGCGGCACTGGCAGCACTGATAGGTGGCACTGATTGGCATTGATAGGTGGCACTGACTGGCACTGATGGGTGACATTGAAAGGCAGCTCAGGTGGGCACTGATGTGTGGCATTGATGTGCACTGGTATGCACTGATATGTGGCATTGATGTGGCACTGATGGGCACTGGCACGTGGCACTGATGAGCAATGACAGATGGCACTTCTGGGGCCACACTGATCATCAGGGCACACTGATTATCAGTGCCCTGATGATCAGTGCACATGTCCCCTCCGCGGAAAGCCGATTACCGGCTCTCCTCTCTTCTCGAGCTGTCAGCGTGACAGCTCGAGAGGAGAGAAATGCCGATAACTGGCATTTCCGTGTTTACATGTGATCAGCTGTGATTGGACACAGCTGATCACATGACCGAGCCGACATCTTCGGCTCTTTCTGTGATCCGCTGTGTCCGAGGGACACAGCGCACTGGCATTCGCCGCACTGCGCGCTCCCTGAGCCGCGCATGCGCGGTGAGAATGGAAGGACGTCATATGTTGTCCTATCAGAACGAGAGAACCACCTTGCGCCCGTCATTGTACTATATGGCGGGCGGAAGGTGGTTAAACGTGAAAATAAAAGATTTTTCCACATAGTGTAAAACCCTCAAATATCTTGCAGGGAAAATAATTCCTTCTTGATCCCCCTGAGAGGTAATCGGATATTCCCTGGATCAACTTTACCTATAAATGTTAGTATCCAGTTATATTCTGTGTATCTAAGAAAGAATCCAGGCCTTTTTTGAAGCAATCCACTGAGCTGGCCAGAACCAACTCTTGAGGGAGTCTATCTATTCCACATTTTCACAGCTCTCACTGTGAAGAAACCTTTCCATGTTTGCAGATTCAATTTCTTTTCCTCCAGACGTAAAGAGTGCCCCCTTGTCCTCTGTGATGACCTCAGGGTGGATAGCTCTACACCGAGTTCACTATATGAACCACTGATGTATTTATACTTTACATGTTCATCATATCCCCCTTAATCTCCTCTTCTCAAGAGAGAATAAATTCAGTTCCTCTAATCTTTCCTCATAGCTGAGCTCCTCCATGCCTCTTATCAGCCTGGTTGCCCTTCTCTGTACTTTCTCCAGTTCCCCAATGTTCTTTTTGTGAATTGGTGCCCAGAACTGAACTGCTAATTCCAAATGAGGTATTACTAATGATTTGTACAGGGGTAATATATCTCTCTCTCTGGAGTCTATACCTCTTTTTTAATACAAGAGAGGATTTTGCTTGCTTTAGAAACCGCAGCTTGGCATTGCATTCCATTATTAAGCTTGTGATCTACCAGAACTCCCAAATCCTTCTCCACCATTTACCCCCCCTAGTATGTATGATGCATGCATATTCTTAGCCCCCAAGTGCATAACCTTACAATAAGATGCCACCAGCACTAATATTACAAAATTAGTGTCATGGATGGACTGTATCTGTGCCAGGGTGAATGTTGCAGTGAGTGAGGATGATGGATCCACAGTCTGACAGATCCCAGGCTGGAATTCCCCAGGCAATGGGGGGAGATAAAATGCTGTGACAGCAGGCAGCTAAACTGAGCAATCTCACACAGTGACAGATCCGACACAACATACCACCACCAACACTGACACAGATCAGCAGGCACTAGAAGAGCAGGCTGTGGGATCATGATGATGTCATCACTCACTGACATATTGCACGTGATGGATGCCCGGCCAACCGGGTCACATTCACACAGACACGAGACATCAGAGTCGGACATTACCTTCCTCCACATCCACTGATGAATGGGAAGAAAAGGACTGGAACTCCATAGTGATCAGCAGCCGCCAACCAGCTTGTAGTAAGGAACTGAGTCTAAGAGAAACACTGGAAGGGATGGCAGCTCAGCTGCTACACTGGCCCCAGATACTCGGCATCTTCCTCTGTCTGTCCTTCCTCCGCTCTGCCACCCCTTCTCTCAGCTGAAGGACCATTCATGACGTGACGGCATCCTACACAGAGAGTGCCAGCCTGTGCTGTGCCCAGCGCCCCTAGGTGGCAGTGCGCCCTAGGTGCCCGCCTAGTTTGCCTAGTGGAAGCACCGGCCCTATTTGAAGGGGGTGTGTCCCTTCCCTGCAATCCGCTCTCCTCACTGAGCTCTGCAAAGTGTAATTTAAGCTCTCCGCCCCCTGTTTTCTGAACTCTCAGGCAAGCTTTATAAATTCAGCATTTTTAACGGATATAGAGAAGACTGCAGGTAAACAGGTACAACTTATGAGGATTTATTTAATCTCTGTGCATCACCTGAGGCCATTTCACTGGGTATATGTAAGGGCTTACAACCACTTTAAGCAAGGTTCAAGTTATATTTAGTGCTTCTAGACTTGTCTACAATGGTGTTTTGAGCATACAGAGAATTTTGAAAGTCTACTAATCTCCTAAGGCAATAAAAAAATGCCCAAGAACCTGTGCAGTCAGAATACCTTCGCTTTTCAAATAGTATTTTTAGCAAATTATTTTGCAGCTGTGCTCTATAGTATCACATTTTCTTAAAAGTTAGATCTTTTAAAAGATTTTACTGGCAGAGCTTAAGCATCGCCTTGTAATTTGGTGTTATATTTTATGAGTCATTAACAGGCTGTCAGAGCCTTGTTAGCAAGTTTAAGTTCTAAGAGCTCTTTTTTGACGTTGCTAAAATAAATCTGTACATTTTATTATTCATTGAAAGTATGGCTTATCACTAATGAACCCCATACGAAAAGTAATAACATTGGTTGGATAAATCAAATCTTTAAATACTATATGTCAGAATGTTGAAAATGAATCCTTTGCTAGGCTGGAGACTGCTATAACTTGGGAGGCCTGGGAACTCCTGTTTATGCTAAGGTTTTTTGTTTTTTTTTGTAGATTTACTATATTTACTACTGTATTTTTTTTTTTTTTTCAGTATACAAACTTATAAAAAGCAGTTTTGCAGTACATAAGCAACTTAAAGCGAACATACACTGCCATGGAAAACAAATCAAGGGACAAGCATCCATCTATTAAGAAAAGTGAAAATAACCCCCACAGACATTTGTATATACCAGTGATGGCGAACCTATGGCACGCAGAGCCATCTCAGTGGGCACGCCAGGAAGAAGAGGAAGATGAGCTCACATGGACCACACACACTGACCGGCCATCCAGATCTCGTCCACACTGGACCCCCATCAAACTACATCTCCCACATGTCTCTGGGGCCAGGGTGGGTGTGGATGAGAGGAAACGGCTCCTATACGGATCTGGCACCAGGGGTGATGTAGCCGGGGATGGGCGTGGAAGAGAGGAAGAGGCTCCCACACTGCTCTGGGGCCAGGGGCAATGTGTTCAGCGTGGATGGGAATGAGCTGCTAGGTTGGAAGCCACACCGACACTGCCAGAGGTGAGATTAACTGATTGCAGTGTCACCCGTCAGTGCCCAGCAGTGTCACCCGTCAGTGCCCAGCAGTGTCACCCGTCAGTGCCCAGCAGTGTCACCCGTCAGTGCCCAGCAGTGTCACCCGTCAGTGCCCAGCAGTGTCGCCTGTCAGTGCTGCCCAGCAGTGCCACCTGTCAGTGCCCAGCAGTGTCGCCCATCAGTGCTTCCCATCAGTGCCACCCATCAATGATGCCCAGCAGTGCCGTCTATCAGTGCCTCCAGTTGGTGCTATCAGTCAGTGCCCATCATTGCTGCATATCAGTGCATCATCAGTGCCTCCTCATCAATGCCCACCAGTGCCGCCTCAGCAGTGCTACCTATCTGTGCCGCCTCATCAATGCCCATCAGTGCTGCCTATTAGTGCAGCCTCACCAACGCACATCAAAGAAGAAATATTACCTGTTTGCAAATTTTATAATAGAAGCATAGAATAATTTAATTTTTTGCTCTTTTTTTCATTTATAGTGCAAAAAATAAAACACCCAGTGGTGATTAAATACCACCAAAAAAAGCTCTATTTGTGTGAAAAAATTAGTGTTGCATGACTGCACAATTGTCATTGTCAAGTGCAACAGCACTGAAAGCTGAAAATTGGTCTGGGCAGGAAGGGGGTAGAAGTGCCCGGTAGGCAAGTGGTTAGTTGCAGTGTTGGTACTTTGAAATAAAAAAGTTGGTTTTGTGTTGCAGTTTTGGGCACTCGGGCTCAAAAAGGTTCGCCATCACTGGTTTATACTGTACAGATTGTGCGCTTACCTTTCTTTTAGGGCTCTTTCACTCTGCTGGTGGATTGCAGTGCTCTCTTTAAGAGTAACCCATGTGGTGATTGTTTTGGCATTTGACAGGCAGTGAAGAGGTGACATATCGCTTCCTCGATGTTTGATTTAGCTCTATAATGCCACACGATCGCACCAAAATCATGCGCATTGCACACAGTTGCAGCACAGCCCCTTTCTAACTCAATGGCCAAATGTACCAAGTTTGCCGCTGGTCAAACTCTGCACGTCAAAATGCCACGGCATGTGAACAGCCCCGACTGGCTGTTATTTCAGGCTAGGTTCACATTTGTGCGTGTATGCTTGATGTTATTATTATACAGGATTTATATAGCGCCAATATAACGGGAGACAATACAGTTCAATACAAAAGGGATAGGAGGGCCCTGCTTCTTGGAGCTTACAATCTAAGAGTTATGTTTTATTGTGGCACATTTTCTGCTACATTTTGCATTTTTTTTCATGCATGTTTTGATGCGTTTTGTATTTTTGGGAAGTGTTGATCTTGCTAAGAGGAGGTGTCTGTTGTCATACAGGAGAACACACCAAAAATGCATGTACGTGTGTTTTTTCTTGCGTTTTTTTTTATGCCATTCCATTGAAGTGTATGGATCTATAAATGAACCGTGCTGCATGTTTAAAAAAAAAAAAAAAAAAAAAAAAAAAAGTCCCCACACCTTTCCAAAAAGCGCACTGCAGGAAAATGCATAGATGTAGACGGGAGACATAGGAAATAAGGTTAAGTGGATTGTAGTGCTTTTCTGTGGATCTGTAAACCTACTAAAAAAAACCCACCTTGAACCTAGCCTTACAGTTCTGGTAGGCAAAACCATGGCTCAGCAGCCCATTTTCACAAAAACGTGGACAGAATTCAAACATTGCATATATGTTGCACAAATGGTTAATAAACGTTCATGTGAAGGGGGTGAATTTGAGGTGATTTAATAACTAATAGCTGCAATGCAATAGAAGACATCTGTCACTCTGAGGGAAGAGGGGTGTAACTGACAAGAAGTCAC